AGCATACACGAGGCTACCGCCGAATGCTGCGGATATAAACAGGTTGGCCTGCCGTCTGGAGGTCAGCAAAGATCTTCATGGTAGACACGAGAGGTACAACTGGCAGTTAAATAGAAGAAAGCAGCGTTCAAGAAATGGCTTGGAAATAAGGAGCCTTCTACTCGCGTGCGATATGTCGAGGCACGCAAGGCGGCAGCCAAAGAAGTGGTGAAAGCTAAAAGCTGATTCCTGGAAGAAGTTCGGTGACGTGTTGAAGTCGAATTTTCACACGGCAAGCAAAGTATTCTGGCAAGCCATCCGATGGCTCCGAAGTGAAAAGAAGGGCAGTCTTAGATATTTGAAGGACAGGTCTGGACACCCTCTTGCCAAAGATGATGACATTCTTTGGAGATGGAGGGAGTACTTTGAGGAATTCCTTAACCCCGCGCAACCGCAGGAAGACTCGCCTATAGAGCAGAAGGGTAAGGATATTACTATCTCTGTAGATGAAATTACACAAGCTGCGAAAAGCTTGAAAAATGGAAGAGCTGCTGAAATTGATGAAACCCGCCCTGAGATGCTCAAGGCATTAGGCGAACAAGGCGTGTGCTGGCTAACGCGTGTCTGTCAAACTGCGGTGACTGCGAGACAGACATCAGCGGACTGGGGAACGGGAGTTATAGTATCCATATACAAGAAGAGAGACCAGAAGGAATGTTCTCATTTTTGGGAATAGCGTTATTGAGCCTCGCAAGTAAGGTCTAGCAAATGTACTAGAAAGGAGGTTCCGTGAAATAGTTGACCTCAAGATTTAAGAGCAGTGCTGCTTCCGGCCAGGTCGAAGCACCTCTGACAATATATTTGCACTGTGCCAGATTGTTGAGAAATTGTGGGAGTACGCCCGTCCAATATACATATCCTTTGTGGACCTAGAGGAAGCCTATGAGCGGATCCCACGCAACAGTCTGCGAACATGCCTCGTGCATACGGGATTGATGGCTAGCTGTTAAGGGCCATTCAATCACTGTATTCTGATAGCAGGTGCTGTGTCAGCGCTAATGGCGTTAAGTCGAAACCATTCAACGTTCGCACAGGTCTCCGCCAAGGCTGCGTCCTGTCTCCTATCCTCTTTGTGTTGTACATGGATAGAGTAATCAA